ACTATTTACAGATTACTTATTTTCGTATTACAAGAAGGAGGGCGATTGAGTATTATTGAATTTTTTTGAGCACAATTGTGGAGATTAATCGAATACTGAGATGATATCAAATGCAGTCGCTTACGCGCGTATATTACATGAGTGATTCACGAGATATGTTGACTCTGATTGTATACTACTTAAATCTGTTGAATTTTTAGCCTTATGCTGTAGCATTTTCCATAGTCTTTTTTGAGTTACTTAGCATAGAAGGATGGGTCAATGTATGAAAGAATTGTAGAGAATAATAGTAGTTTATTTCTAGGATAACATTTTAACTTCCGATGCTTCTACTACTCCTTCTAATGAGAAGTCGTGACCTCTGAGGTCAAACAGTCGGAAATGAGGCGGATCCCAGCTGAATACCTTGGTGGATAGTTGCGCTATATCTTGAATTGACAGAAGTAAGGAACTGTGGACCATTGGCCTCTTACCCACTTGCTCAATGAATAACGCGTTCGCCATGAAATCCGAAGGTCCCGACCCCTAACCTAGTCATGTGTACGGGCTGCTGAGAGGTCCCACACTAGAAAGAAACAGCTGTACAATGCTCCCAGGTTTTCAATGGTTTTATAACTGACGCCAGTCCGTGATGAATGCTACCTTAGATATAAAATCCCCATTCACCTTTGTTGTGACCGAGTGGTGGTTGTGTGCTTGGGTTTAATGATACTGAGACTCAGTAGACGCCTCAACCAAATACCTTTACGACTGACCTCCCTCAGTCCCTTCTGCTTCACTGAGCCGCGGGAAAATCAGAAGACAAAGACGGCCTGTGATTGCAAGAACAGTGACAACCTTTATTAGGCAAATACATGACGTATATGTATTTACAAAACTCTCAGAAAGTGAAGCCATAAGTGAACCAATCCGATTTCTTGTGAGAGGTCGAACTTCTCCAATCAGGTTCTCATGTCAGCGCAAACATAAATCACGACCTGAACATGATCTGATCATTCTATATTAGATTTGTTTATTTGATATAAAGCGCACAGTGATACAGTATTATTTACTTGATTACGTTTCGAGCTGTATCACTGTGCGCTTTATATCAAATAAACAAATCTAATATGGAATTACATTCTACCACAGTGCCCAAGTTTTTCACTTATATTGATGATCTGATCATGACTTGAAAACAACTCCCTTATTGGCTGCCTTTTATCGCTACGTATCAACCTTGAAATACTTAACACTTCTACGTTAAGCCGAAATAACAGGAAATTTTAAGTTTATGTGAATACTGTAGGCATAAAAAAATCATATAAGTCACTTCAGAAAAATACTCTGCTACAAGAAACTGAACTAATCTTATAGTTTTTAGTTACATATTTTGTGCTAATTAGTTATTAGGTAACATTCTGTTTAGTGTTATCGCATTATTATACCGTCGTTAGTTGGACCGAATTCATCGGTCTCTACTGGGATATGTTCTGCTGTGCGGATGCCTCGATATTGTTTGTGTTTTCATTCCAGTAATGATGGATAGTGGCTAGCGGTGGAATCTAGGACGTACATTTCGTCCTACTTGGGACTCGTCAGCTGGATGTACCCGCCTCTCAGTGAGTGATGTTGTTCCCACCGGGATTCGGACTCGGGAGTGATCATTACTATATAGTTAAGAACACAGTCACCGAGGTAAATTTATGATGGATAGTGGTCAGCAGTGTAATCCAGGATGCGCATTTCGTCCTGTTTGATATCGAGGCATCCGCAAATGAGCCCATGTGCCAATAGCGACCTATCAGTTAGGTCCAATCAAGGACAATATAATACAAGCAACTATACTAAAACTATACCCGTCGCACAAGAAGTGGCTATCGTGGTTCGGTGATGTAGTGGATAACGCTGTGGCCGTTAAAGCGAGTGGTCCCGAGTCCGAATCCCGGTGGGAACGATATTGCTCGCTGGGAGGCAGGTACATCCAGCTGACCAGTGAGTCCCCAGTAGTACGAAATGAGCGACTTGGATTCCACTGCTGGCCGTTATCCATCTTTACCATGACATTCTGTTTAACTTGAAGCGTAGGATATTTGAATGAGTCTAAGGATTTCTAGTGACAGCAGTCTCATGTATTTATTTACCTTATTTTTCGGGAAATTAGAAGAGCTTTGACTTTTGAATAATGGATTTTTCTGTCGAATTTCACGATTATTACAATTTAATCCTTGATTTTACCACTTTTGATATTCGTATAGATTATCTTCATGAATTTATTTAAACAACATCTTTCCATAAAATATGAGAACATGATGAAGAGTTGGTATTCTGATGAAATGGTCGGAGAATCTTCTTATAATTATGTCAAAAACAAGATATTCAGCGAAGAAAACTCTTTTCAACGAATTTATCCTCAAGCTGTACATTCGTTTAATATATGATATTTAAAGACTGTAATCCATGAGGAAGATGCAACTTAAATAATGGGGACTGAAACAATAATAATGATGGTGGTGATAATTATAATGTTGATAGTTGATGACGTAAAGGTCGATTGATAGCAGAAATAGGTTACTTCAAGTTGTTACTCATCGTAGACTGACATCAGTTGGAAGAAACCTGGTAGCACTAGACAGCTGTTTCATCCTAGTACGGGACTCCTCAGCCGTGCGCACCCACAACCCCACCAGGGATCGAACCGGCGACCTTCAGGTTCCGTGGCCAGCACGTTACCATTGAGCCATCGGGTTAGAATCGAATCGTCCATATTTCCAACTTCTGTTAGCTCACGATACAGCGCAACCGCCACCCAATGTACTCCTTGAGTAACTGTCCTAGTGACTAGGGGCAAAGCCTGATGGTCGTGAGGACAGCTACTCAACGATGACATTGGGTGGTGGTTGTGCTATATCGTGAGCTAACAGAAGTTGGATATATGGACAATCGGATTCTGACTCAGTGGCCCAATGGTAACGTGCTGGCCACGGAACCTGAAGGTCGCCGGTTCTATCCCTGGTGGGGTTGTGGGTAAGCACTGCTGAGGAGTCCCATACTAGGACGAAACAGCTGTCCAGTGCCCCCAGGTTTCCTTTGTTCCTCCAACTGATGTCAGTCTACAATGAATAACAACTTGAAATATTTTCAAATCCCCACAACTCCCTCAAAATTCAAAAATAGGTTACGTAAGATTTTAGATCTTTTATAAGAAACATATAGATTAAAAAGGGGGTGAAAACGTGATAGAGTTAATAAACGATCAAAGGTGATTACGTAATATGAGTGAAACAACAAGTTAACTGAAGTGAATTGAAAATGTTTTGTTAAAAAATACGACTATTAGGAAGATCAAATGAAATAACACCGGAAACAATTAAATATAAAAACGAAATGATTATGACGATATAAGAGTATAAAGATTGGTCTAACAAAAAAGTGGAGGTGTAAACGAAAAAGGAACGAAGCAGACCAAGATAGAGACAGACTGTACATACTCCTTTTGCACACAAAGTTTAGGCTTCAGTTCATAGCCAAGGCCCCTGATGTTTTTAGAAGCTGAACACGGAGGAGACATGAGGTGTTTGAGCGAATTCGATAAGCAACCTTAAAATCCTTGTTTGGGTCAGTTGAATGATTGGAATCGATTAAATGTTCAAGGATAGAACTTCTGATACATTTTCATTCACCCTTATAAAACCAGACAGGAGTATGTTCTCGTATACGTGTTGACAGCAATCTGTGACTACTGCCAATGTGCCTTGCTCTACAGAAGCAGATGAACTGGTAGGTTCACATGGATGCAACCTGTCGAGGAATATTATCTTTTATGCAAACGGCTAACAATTTACGACTGATAAAGATCAGATGAAGTTTTGTTGAAGAAAAAGTCCTACTTATTGATCGGGAAAGACGATTTTTCAGGATATCTGGTGCTGCATCACCTTTAAATTTCAGATTCATCAACAAAGTCTTTTTAGAAACTGAGCTGATGACTCGTTTCGCATGTCTTTCTCGCATATTTAGCTAGGATAGCAGTTTCCCGCGAGCGTTCATCTTAGAAAGTCACGTTCAACTTGGTCATATTCCGTGCTACAGATATTACTTATTCGAAAACGGAATGAGTGAATGAGGTTTCTCTTCTTCATAATCGGCACTCAGCCATAGAAACTACTTAGCTGTGCATTCCACGTGGGTTCTCTGTAGATGGATCTTTTCAGAGTCGCATTGCTGTGTCTCGTAATGAGTACGTCAAGGAAACGAATAGCCTATTAGAATTCCTTCTCAATAGTGAATTCCAACCCTGAGTGACAATTGTTAAACTCGCGTAGGATGTCATCCAGATGGATAGTTGAGTCTCGAATAACGAATATATCATCCATATATCGTTTATATATGTCAAAATGATTAATAGTTTGGCTAAGAATAGAATTTTCTAGTTTTGACATAAAACAACCTGCCATTAGAGGTCCCAGTGTAACAAAGAGTAAATATAAAAGTATGATGTGACTGCCTGAGATAGCCGTAGTTTGACAGACTAGTATTTGTACTGGATGATGATTGGAGGTGAAATGAAAATCTAGACCGCGGCAGGATTCCAACCAGCGACCACCGGGTTACCGGCGCGGGGCTCTACCAACTGAGTCACAAGGTCTGACTGCTCACCAGATTGCTTTTATCATTTCACTTCAATCATAAGGTGGGATTTTGCCTGAATATCATGTGATTCAGTTAGATTTGCATTGGGATGAGAAGTCCAGACTAGATGGCCAGTGTGAATACGACCAATGAGTAGTAACGCGTCACGAATTCACGTAGTAGTTAGGCAAAACCTCATCTTGTGATTGAAATGAAATGATAAAAGTAATCTGGTGAACAGTTGGACCTCTTAGCTCAGTTGGTAGAGCACTGGGTTGGTAGCCGGGTAGTCGCTGGTTCGAATCCCTTACTCATTTCATTATTTTACAGTATATCTCCATTTTAAAACATTTTTCAAATCAAAAATGTTATTCTTCTTCTTATTTAAGTGGCAGCTGAAAGTTTTAATCCTGCTACAATAACTGGTTTGGAATCTATTGTCTATCCAAAGTCTGTAGCTCAGAAACTTCGGTTAAAATCTGTTGTCAAGCCAATTTTTATATTTCGTTCATTGGATGAGGTAATTGTTTTTTTCCTATTGAATTATATTACCTAAGTAAAATTGTGTTTAATTTAACTATTTCTATTATGTATTCATGAAAAAAAATATTTATTTAGACTAGTATAAATGACTGTAATTGCTATATTACGTAATTCAAATTACTTCTGAAAAACCTAGTTGTATTTTATTCCATTAAAATTAATATTTTTATCTAGATGTTTTTCAGTATAAATCCCTGGTAATTTGATGTTCTCTGAGTAGAGGATGATAAAGTAGATAAGGATATAGCCTACAAAGTGAAAAATATCTTAGCCACACATTTCACAAGAAATTTAAAACTGGTCAATGTCTAAATGATTAATATAAACGTAAAACTTCAGCAATATGGTAGAATGTAATTCCATTTTTAACTGATTTATTAGATATATCACAGAGTAGGACAGTTTTATCATTCGTCAGATTACATTTTGGACACATTTTCTTGTTCATACTCACATCAAGATAACTCCACAACTTTAGTATATTCTTTATATAGTTCTGACTTTTATGACTTACAACATAGATTAGATAATATACATATAGATGATAATGAAGAAATGGGTAATTTTGATGTAGTTAATTTGTATACTGATATACCGATTCGTATGGTTCTGGAAGTAGCTAGAAATGAGTTCAATAATGACCATAAGCTTACACTACAAGTCAAGGTACCAGTAGAAAAGATCATATTAAGAGTATAGCTATGCCTGACTTCTATAAGATTTAGAATAAAATATACAAACAAACAAAAGGAGTTGCCATGAGATTATTAATCTCCTCTATTGTCATAGACATAATTATGGATAGTTGGGAAGAGATGGTTGTGTAAAGATTTAGTCCTTCCCAAAAGGTATGTTTTCATTATGCAGGTTATACGTTTACAGTATTGAAATCGGAGCACTTACATAGTTTCAATAGTCAATACAATCCAATTTACGTATGAATTGGAAAATAGCAAAGCATAATTAATGCCGTTGGATTGGAGAATGAAAATGATAATAAAACGGGTGGTTAAACACTAAGTATCTATGGAAAACTTTCACAGTCGGATAGTTACCTATACTTCAAATCACCTAACTCTATGCCAATTAAACTTGGCTTGAAGAAATTTACTAGTGAAACAGATCACCTTATTCAGTAAGGAAGTGGAGTCAAGCATGGCTAATCGGTGACCACCGAAATCTTGGCTGAGACGGAAAAGCCTCAGTATTTCGGTTGTTATCCCTATCTACTCTTCAAGAAACCTCAATTGCAGCATGTGCATGTTTGTGAAAATTTCGTATACATTAATAACTGTTTTCTGAATTTATCATTATTTTTATCTATCTGAATAAGTGACTGATATTCTGTTTCTTCCCATGGATCAAAGTACATTAAATTTCACATGAAACAACATAGTTCAAGTTGTCAGTAGTTCATAAGATTCTATCAAAGCGAAATGAATTCTCACCAACTGTTGTTCCTACTCTTTAAAAAACCTTTATTTAATTAAGACCGAACTAGATCACTTTCAGTGACAACAGTATATTGGAATACATACAACTACATAATTGCGAAATATGACCAGTTAATATACTGGAAGATGATTGAAGGTGAGATGAAAATCTGAACCGCCACAGATTTTGAACCAGCAACCACTGGGCTACCGACTCAGCGCTCTACCAACTGAGCTACAAGGTCCGACTGTTCAGCAGATTCTTTTCATCATTCCACTTTAATCACAAGGTGGGGTTTTGCACGAATATCATATGATTCAGTTAGATTTAGATTGGAATGAGAAGTCCTGAATACACAACCAGTGTGAATACTATCACGGAGAAGTAACACGTCACGAATTCACATGATAGTCGGGTAGTCAGGCCTTGTAGCTCAGTTGGTAGAGTACCGAGCCTGTAGCCCAGTGGTCGCTGGTTCGAATCCACCTGCGGTCCAAATTTTAACAAAGTGAGAAGGTTCCAAATATTTTATTGAAGTTAATTTTGAGCCTTCATCCTCATATTCTAGAACCATCAAGAAAGGAACAAAGAGGTCGTACATACAGTTGAACAAGAAAATCAGTATATCAGTTGATCAGCTCATAAAACATGAACTGAGATGACTCAGAATCGTGCTGTGAATGCCTATTCGTCGTCAAATATAACAATAAACGTAAATGTAAGGCTAGGAAGATGTCAGACGTTTCAAAGTGAAATATCATATCCGTCTGTTAAGTAACTGAGTATTGAAGAGATTCGTTTAGAGGAGTGTCAACTTTCAGATGGAGATCTGGGTGCCAACTGAAATTATTGATTGTAGAGTAGATGATTTAGCCTAGCTGAAAACCAATCATAGTAGTTCGGATGCATTTAATTTCAGCGTTTCTTTTTTCATCGTGTAGTGCTTTACAAAATTCAATTAGATTATTTTGAAATATTTGCATTTCATTGTATAGCCTTACATTTTGTTGTGCTGATGAGAGCGAGGTATTACAACTTGGCCGTCTATGTGGTAAATCTAGGTCTCAGCATAATGTTGACTGACCACTGTGTGGATAGTGAGGTGACTGTTGTCATAATTGGGAATTCGCTTATTGTGTGTATATCTTATGGAAACTAATTTCACCAGGATCAATCCACTTCCCACTTTAGTCTGTTTACTAGATTTTTCATACAATGAAACAGTATTATTTACTGGATAGGATAGCGTCTTGAACATTATAATCCATGTTCATATCAGGTTATTGGACATATCTGCCTGAATTTCAACTTTATAGCTTAGTGCTTTTCCAGTTACTTTTGAGGTACTTGCTGGAAGTTTCTGCTACTGATTTCACTTGGACTGAAGTAAACAGAGAGATACTGTCAACAGTTTTCATAACTTCATCATTATGATTTTATAGTAAATGAATTGTAGTTTGTATGAAAAGATTACAAGATTCATTGTAATGATAATTTGGTTGATTGTGGCTAGCAAAGGAATCCAGGACAGGTGTCTCGTCTTATTTGTAAGTCACTGGTTAGCTGGATGTACGTGCACCTCAGTGCAGAGTGTTGTTTCCATTGAGACTAGAACCTCATACCCATGGCTTCAAACGCCAAGAAGTTATTCACTATGTCATGGAGTAACGATGGTCACTTCTTGTACAACGGGTGGTAGTTATTACTATTTATTGATATATACTTGTAATTCTCCATTGTTCTCTTGGATCGAATTGTTCGATCTGTATTGGCATATGGGCTGGTATGTGGATACCTGTATATTGCCTGAATGTTAATTATGGTAATTTGGTTGGTTGTGGCTAGCAGAAGAATCCAGGATGCCCATTTCGTCTTATTTGGGACTGGTCAGCTGGATGTACCTGCACCGGCGTCGAACAATTCGATTCAATAAAAACAACGGAGAATTTCAAATATATGAACAAATTGTAATAATTCATTGAAATGTTTGAGATTTTTCCAGCAGTTTTAAGCAAATGCTGATGAAAGCCTTAGAAAATAATACTATTCATCATAGCACAAAGTTTTGTTACTGTTTTTTTTTATCTGATGTGTTTATTTAGCTTACTGTTGAACTGTTTTCTCAGTAAGGTAGGGGATATGTATATTTTAGTTGTTAAGAGGTTAAATCCTCCAACAAATGTTGAGCTTCATTTGTTTAAGGATAATATTTCATAATTCTTTTGATTATAAGGTTGTCCAATGTCTTCATCTGTTGAACACTGAACTTTTAAGTTTATTGTTTTAAAATGTTCCACTGCTCACCATATTTCGTTTGATTTTGCATGTTAATCTTAACATGGACAGTTTTTGTTATCAATATATCACAGATTTCTTATATATATCTTAAGAGTAGACTTTGAGTAGAGAGCTTACACTTATTCATGTAGGCTGCATTTTCATCATCATAACAGTAGATGTTTAAAATACTTTTGATTGACTTTAGCTATGCCGATGAAATGATATAACAGGCAATCAGTAGTCTGGATTCAAATGTTTGTAATTTAAAACTGGATCATTTTTCATTTCATTTTTTCTTTGTTAGTGTTAAGTGAGCACATAAATGAGATTTGGAGACACAGTTTTATCATTTGATTTATTCTTCCTTTCCGAGTCGATAATCTGTTTTGCCTATACTCTAATATATTAGGTATTCTTTCAAATAATTTCTCCCTTATATACATATTCTAATGTATTATAATAAATGTCGATTAGTATAACAGAGCACAAAATTTTAGCTGAATCAAGATTAATAGATCCTAATACGATCAGAAATCTAGAGAAAAGATCAGCTGGCTATAGCTCTACACACAATCACACAATAGGATGGGAGAGGGGGATAGTGTTGAAAACTAACTTAGTTGGGTGGAGGGAGAGATTGATAACAGACTGAATCTTTGTTTATCGAATCAACACCAAATACATGTGCTAATAGAAATGATTCTGTACCTATCCCAGATATATGGAAAATTCTACTACCCTTGGCTATCATAGAGAAGAGAGAAAATCAGGAATATATAAAGTCTGTCTCGAAGTTGTGGAGTTACCTGATACGAATATGGACAATAAATTGTGTCCGAAACGTTATCCAGTAAATGATACTATTTCACTGTGTGATATTTCTAATAAACAAACTAAAATGGAATAACAATCGACCACAGTACTCAAGTTCTTCTCTTATATAAATGTAATAAACATTTCATAGATAATGCGGTGCGTGTCCGGGGTCCCAAAGAATTACTGTTTGTTAGTCATATTTTAGGTTAAATTTCTCTTGGGGAAATGTAAATTTCTACTTTTTCCACTTTAAATGATTTTAATTTCCAATTAGTTATACTTCAACTTTAAATACTCTAATTTATTTACCTACCTCATGGGCTTTTTATAGTACATAAACTAGCTGTTTGTATTTGTATTCTATTTAGTTGAAGTAAATCTCTTCAACGCAACTCCTTCTTACTATTAGTTTGATGAATTGTAAAATACATGGTTCATTGGTACACC